AAAAAGTTCCACAAGAATCAGTTTTCATCTTCTCCATATCATCCAAAATAACGGAGATACGGGGGCTGTCCCAAATTGCAAAATTTTGGAAAAGACCGTGTAGCTCAGAAACGAAAAGGGCTATGAAAATTTTGTTTGGCAGCATCTTCCGTTTGACAAAAAACTGGGACAAGTTTGTGCAAACTGCATCCTCCTATCTTTACTAATAACGGAGATCGATACCGTATGATTTCAACCAAAATGTGACACCCTGTACTCTCTTTCCCACGTCGCAACACGTGGGCTCACGTGGGATAGCGTGGCGTCGCGTGGCGTGTGTGTCCCGGCCATTACTCGCTTTCTGTGTGGTCTGGACCATAGACTTCGGAAAACAAAGTTTGATAAAATCACAGAACTAGCAGAGTAACTAGATAAAATTTAAATAGATCGCAACTGGCAATCGGTTCGGAAGTAGTTAATTAAGATGTAATTTATCTGATTAACAACGTGTAGTTTTTCTGCAAAAACTATGTCTTTTCTTGTTCATTAACTACATCAAAACTACTTTAATAAACTACATTATTGTTATTACGATAAAAAAAAACAATCCTATATATAAAAATGTGGCAATGGTGTGGATCCGGTGGATGACCTTGAAACGAGTTTTTGCTCCATATAGTCACAGACACTACGCATGCGCACATCTTCGATGTTGGCAGATTGCAAGTTATTTTGGAATTATTTTCAGTTGAAAACAAATATGTGCTTTTCAGTGTTTTTTTTTATCAATATATACCGTACGATCGAAAAAACGGTGTTCAGTTGGCTGAGAAATGACGATTGAGGACATTTCCCATATAAAATGATAGCGATCTTCATTACATAGTCATCGCTGACACTATTTTTTTTCAATCATAGTACGCGGTATATTATTTATATTATTATTTTAATATTTCGCACAACACGTGAACGCTTTTGTATTATGTATTGTTATAGTCAATAAAATTAAATAGAAATAAAACTCTAGATTCCTATAATTAATCTAATTGCTATAGATTATTATGCTACGTTTAAAAAGGGCTTTATTAAAAATTCGGGAAATTAAAAGGGATGTGTCCAAGTTTTTTCTTTTTTTTACATTTTTAAATGCTGTAGCTCCATGTCATGTTGATAATAGATTTTTTTAACATTCCATCAAAACTACGGAGGCCTTAAAAGGCCTTTTAATCTCCGTAATTAAAATTGTAGAATCAGCTTCAGCAACATATTAACAGTTACCTTGTTTAATTCTGCTTATACATATATTGCATTAATTTTTCTGCTACCTTAAGATTTCTCTATTCTTACACCTAATTTATGTGATTTTCTTAGCATATATGCTTTACAAACCATATTTTTCCTAATGGAAGGATGGAATAGGATAGGCAAAATTAATATATTTTAACATTTATTTTCCAGACAAAGCATAATATAGTATTAAGATTAAGATATAACAAATATTATAAGAAAGATCTTAATCTAAGTCACAAACTAACTAAGTCTTAATCCAGTCTTGTATAAACACAGGTATAAAACTAATAAGATCAAAACTCATTAACCTTCGCCATATTGTCAAGATTTGGCATTATAGGAAACAAGAAATTACAGTAAATTAAGAAAAGAATATCAAAGTACACGATATTAAATACTGTAATGTATTCTACGATCAGTGGCGTAGCTAGCATTGAAAGGGCCCTATATCACGAATTTCGCCGGGGGCCCCTGAGACAGAACCAGGGGGGGGGGGGGTAAATAAAATAAAAAACTTACCGTCTGATCAGAATAGCTTATTATTTATTAATAACTTTTACTTACAGGAATAAAATAAACAATATTTCCAACAATAAACATAAATATCAAAACAAAGAACGTATGGTCTTTGGTAAAATTATAACTACAGAAATAAAATAAATATTCGTTCCAAAAACCAACAACAAACAAACATAAAAATAAAAACAAGAAAATATTATGAAACTAAAATCAAGAAGGGTAAAAATAATTATTAGGTATATAACAACTTTATTTTTTTATTTTTGGCAACCGTTTGATGTATACGGGGACAGGCAAATGCGTGATGGCCGCGTGCTCTGGCTGTAGTTGATACGGGGTTTTATTAAAGTATGACCAAAGTTTGCATAATTACGAAAAATGTTGATGCTAACATGATATTTTGATTTTTTTTTACTGCTCGGTGGGCCCTTCAGGTTAGTGGGCCCTGTATCATTGATACAGCTGATACAGCGGTTGCTACGCCACTGTCTACGATACAAACCATCTCCCTTCTAAAGAGAAAAAAATAAAACATAAAGCTTATTTCCAGAATTCCATCTTATCACCAGATCACCACACTCTTCGATAAAATATATGTCTAAAATTGCTATTAATCCACTAACTTGATATTTTTAAGAAATTATGATACAAACATTATAATCAAAATATATTATATTAGTAACATTATAGGTAAAATGTTACCTCTATCTCCCATTGACGTGTACTGTTCTATAAGACTCGTCATGGTAGTACTTCAATACATCAATACATATAATCAAAACTATTGTTGCCTGTAAATAACTAAAAATTAAATAACTTGAAAGAAATAAAATAATTCTAATAAGTTTAAAACCATTATGAAAAAATCCGTAAATGATAATTTTTAATTCTGATGTAAATATATAAATAAATGTTATTATTATTACAATTTTATATATCATTCCTTAATTTTGGATTTCAAGATAAATCTGAAATTATAAAATTAATTATAGAATTTGTATTATTATTGATTAACACTCAAAAAAAAATTTCAACTGCAAATAATTCGAAAATAAACTGCAATTTGGCAACATCGACGATGTGCGCTTGCGTAGTATCGATGATCAAATGCAGCAAATATGGGCTTCAAGGTCAGCCACCGGATCCACACCTTTACCAAAAATAACCAAAAAACTAGTTCTGGCATGTAGTAAATGTAGTTTATTAATTACTACGTGTAGTTTAACAAATCTGCTGCACATGCGTAGTACCTATGAGCAAGTAGTAAATAGACGCTCTCTGTGACGTTCGAGATTAGACAGCACATTTTTTTTAACACAAAACTATGGGAGGTAGAGGTTTTTCTTAAAGGTTTTCCCGTATAGGACCTTTACGCTCCATACACAAAACCAAAGTTTGCATAAAAAAGTACATTCTCATTATTAGTTCTTTTGAACCAGTTCGTTCGCGTCCGATACATCACTAGGTGTCACTAGTTTTAATGGAGGTCAGCCACTGCTCTCTTTAATAGAACAGCCACTGAGATTTTTGACGTCACGCTAGTTAGATATTAGGGATTAATAAATATGTTGTAGAATACATGGAAAACAAAGATGGAAAACATAATTATTGCTCAAAGTTTTTGTTTATATTTTAAAAATAATGTATTATAGTTTACATGAAATATACATAAATACATATACAGTTAATAATACAATATAGATACTTATTTATAGTAATAAATAGATTGGCAAATAAACTATGAACCATAAAAATTCAGAAAATGTATTACAATATACAAATAATGAATAGGTACACAAGTTCATATTATTATTTGCATTCAAATTAAAACAAAGAAATATAATTTTTTTATTATTTTTAGTACCAAACATCCTTATCAACCTTTATCCTAAAGATTTAGTATTGCAATTATACCAATTTTATTGTTATTTTATTAATATTGTATTCAGACTTATCACAGGAAGATCACTTAAATATGTGATATTGGTATTATAAATAATCAACTATTCATTAGAAGTTATTACTCAAAAAATATGTTATGCTTTACATATAATATCAAAAACAAAAACACGTTCTTCTTTTAAAATTTTACCATTCTTGTCTTAACAAAATTTTTTTTTAATTTTGAATTCAAAATGATAATTCTTTCCATGATCTTTAACAACATATCTTTATTTCATGGACTAGTTAAATTATTTCAATCTAGCACCAAAAACACACTCCACTTAAGCTGAGTCTTAAAAACACACACAAATATCATGATAAATAAAAAACTTATGGGCCTAAAAGTGTTAAATCGCTTACAAAACGTGTAATTTTTTTGATTTTTTTTTTCGGAGGAACAGAGAGTGACCATATGTATATCTGGTAGTAGTTTATGTTATTTAAGCACCACAGTAATTAGTTTTTTGCACTGCAATAATAAATAATGCTGAAAATCAACCGGCAAAAGTGAATACAAAATCTGACCGAATATGTAATGATGAACAGCTGATGACCAGGGTTCGGAAGTAGTTAATTAAGACGTAATTTACCTGATTATCTACGTGTAGTTTTTCTTCAAAAACTAGGTCTTTTCCCGTTCATTAACTACATGAAAACTACGTTAATAAACTATGTATTGATATTATAAATAATTTTCCTTTGTATGAGGTGTAATAGAGATAACATGATATAAATATTATATTTAAAGCCATATTTATTCTGTTTTCTTAAATACATTATGTGTTTTTAAAGCTTCAACTTATTATAACCTCACCTCAAACCTTTGATATTTGAAAGTTACATACATAGGTTACATAAGCTACACCCTCTACATAAACTACATTAACTACATGTAATGTAGTTTATGTAGTTTTTCAAAGTAACATGTAGTTTTCCGAACCCTGCTGATGACGTAAACAAGAGTCTGCCGTGGCTGTTCTATTAGGGTGCAGCCACACTATCCTAAAAACGGCGTATCGGCGTAACGGCGTAATGACCTTGAATAGATTTCCAGTAATTCTATTGGCTGAAATTTTTGACAGATGAATTTGACAGATAAAATTTCTGACAGATGAATGTTTCAGCCAATAGAATTACTGGAAATCGATTCAAGGTCGTTACGCCGTTACGCCGATACGCCGTTTTTAGGATAGTGTGGCTGCACCCTTAGAGAGAGCAGTGGGTCAGCCATTGACGTACGTCCACGGGCATCTGTCAGCTATAATGTCAAATCAGGAAATCAGCTGTGCTGTCAGCTGTTCAGCCGTTCAGCCTACAGCGATGGTGTCTGTTTTGTGTCTGTAAAGCATCATCTTTACAACGTCCAAAAATAATGTATTGTTAAACAGTATTAATTTTAAATAAAATGACAGATAAATGTCATAGTCGTGCTTTCGCTAGACAGGCTATGCTCTGGTCTGTTTAAAATTATTTGTGATGGAAGTTTTCTCAACTGCCTCAGACATTCCTTCGTCGTATTTATGTGCTTATTCAGTATTTAATCAAAATGTATCAGTATATAACTTTGGGGACGTATTAGTAACAAAAGATCACAAAACAACTGGTCAAGTAAAGATAATTTCTGGAGGAAAGACATCCTATATTGATTATGTTGGAAAAGGAATGCTTACAGCCACAGTACAAGGTACAATATATAAACTTCAGTTAATGTATATAACGTATTTTTATATGAAATAGTTCTTAAATTATTTAAACCTGGTAAAGTAAAATTCATTACCTCCTAGAAGACATTCAGGTGTCAATGAAGAATTCCACAATTTATTGTTTTTAATATATTCTTTAAGAATTGCTCATCAGCACATAATGCATTGCTGAATATTTGGGCATTTAAAAACAGAAAATCGTCCTCAATTAATTGATCTATTTGAACAAGCAGAAGTGCTTTTAAATTCAAAATCTGTATTGGGCATCAGTGTTAAGACTTGTGTAAAAAGAAACTATAGTCTGTCCAACAAGAGGGTCCATGACAGTGACAGTTTCGTCTATCGTTTTAATACATAGTTAATTTGCATTTTCTCTCATCAGAACTCCCCTGATTCATTGGACAGACTATTGTGAAATCAATGATATCTAAAAAATATATATTCATTATTCCATCGAGAAGCAGGTATTAAAGTAATAACACAATATAAGATTAAAACTGTGTTTAAATCTGGAATAACTCTAAGAAGTGGGTTACGAAAACCAAACTCAGAAATATCGAGACAAGAGAAAGAATGCATTGTAAATACAGTGATTTGTAATGGGCCAAGATATTGATAAAGGAACCATACCGCCAAATGATTAAAAACTGTTTGTCCTTAAGATGAAGTATACTACAGTATACCAAATGCAAAAAATATATTAGAAACAATTTAAAAATTAAAATAAGTAATTATTTAGTTTGTTAATGAAATATATTTTTTAAGTTAGTGTTTATGTATTTGATTATTACATTTCTTTCATTGTTTATTTTTTTTTATTTTATTTGTCTTGTTATGAGCTTTTCAAAAATATAGTATAATCTACAGTATGTCACCGGATTGTCTTTACAAGAGGGAAAACTTTTTTATTATTGAGATTTTGAGAAAAATGCATTCTTCATAAAAAAATTTGCTTGTTCTAAAATGGTTAATCCCGTTTAAACTTTTCCAAATGTCCATACCACTTTAGAGAAAATTAGAAAAAACATAGTTTTACGTGAGGATTCTCCTCACGTAAACTAACACCTTGTTGTATACCTATAGACCTTAAAAACTATTAAACCAAATGCACTGATTATTGCAATGGAAACTATATTACGCATTAACTTGGTAAAAAATATCTCCTATACTTTGTTCGGATTTGATTCACGCCCGATTAAAACAATGAGCGTTTGTTGGTAAAAGCTCGTGCGCTAAAAAAAAATATTTTTTTAAATTCAACCCCGAAAAGGGGTGAAATAAATGAATAAAATTATTTTTTCCAAATTTCGGATAAACAGTAACTAAAAAAAGTTGAAGAGCGTCTGATTTTACATAAAAATGGTCTCTATATTTTTATTGCTCAAATCAAAATTAACCGAGATAGTGTGGCTAGAAGCTAGGGGACAGCTTTTATTGCAATTTTTTCCTTACAGCAGTGGTTTCCAACCTCTTTGTTGTGCCCCCTTAATTTTTCTAACAATCTAATTTCATAAATACTCAACTGATATTATAATTTATTTAATGGGCTACAAAATAGTATACATTATTATGTAAAAAAATACATAAAATAGTATATTATTCAATGAGCATATAATGGTGGCTAGGTGAATAACTATAATAAATAATTATATGAGCGTAGAATACTTACACTTTATCCAGGTTTTATTTTTAATGTTTAAAAAAATATTGAACGAGTATAACGAGTAAGTAAGATAGAAAGAAAACATTGAAATTTTCTTTAACTAGGGAGCTAACTAATTTAGCTTTAACTAATTAAAACTGCGTACAATCGCATTCCAAGCTGGTTTGGATCGAGCACAGCTCTTGTTTGGTGTTTGGGTCGAGATATCCGTGGAAGCGGTGAATAATTGAAACCATTATTCACTAGTGAATAATGAATATTATTATCATTTCATAAACTCATGTATAATAATCAAATTATAGACTAGTCGTGGATAAAAATAATTATTTATTATAAGAAATAATCATTTTAAATGTAATAAAAACAAATCTTACAAAAATACTGGTAAATTTTTGGTTTGCATTCGAAAATGATATTTGGGAAACAGCTGCATGTCCCCCTTGTAACCGTCTCGCGCCCCACAGGTTGGAAACCACTGCCTTACGGTTTCTCCGAAATTTGAAAAAAACTTTATATTTTTCACCCCTTTTCGGGGTGAATTTAAAAAAATCTTATTTGAAATTTATAATTTTCCAAGCAAATTGAATAAAAATGTTAAATACCTATGTATATGAATTTTTCAGCAACTTAAATTTCTATCATCCCTTACCATCTAGCCACCATATTTCGGTTAATTTTGGTCTGAGCAAAAAAAGTATAGAAATAATTTCTATGTAAAATTCGGTTTCTCCGAAATTTCGAAAAAATAATTCTGTTTATTTATTTTACCCCTTCTCAGGGGTGACATAATATGAATTTGAAAAAAAAAATTCACAATTCGTTTTTAGATCTTTCAAAGTAACTCATCAAAAATTCAAGTTTTTACCAAAACTTCGTATTTGAAGGCCTATTTTCTTGGATCATTTAGAATACAATACACCTCATTTATACAGAGTGAGTCTTAAATAAGTGCAAATATTTTTAGGGGTAGTAGATATATTTCGACCTCAGAAACACGAATATGAGTTTTTTTTCGCGAAAAATAATTTGAAATTGTTTCAAAAAAACTTGAATATTTTTTAGTTAAAAAAACATAATTTGTTGGTAATATAGCAACATAGGTAGTAGCAAAGAATATTATAGTTTTAAGAACGCTCGTGTGGAAGCTTTAGCGATTTGTCACACGGTGGCGCTTTTGAAGATAATCGAAGCCTGAAAATGTTAATATTTTAAATTTTGAGGACTACGCGCGGCGATATTTCGTACGGTGTTGCCAAAATATATTTTATTTCTCGAAATTTAAAGAAATATGTATTGATTATATATTTCGTATTCCTTAGTACATGAGGCATCCTAAGGAAGGCTATAAAAACGTAGCTATCAAAATAAAATTTTAGATTTTTAATTTTTAGCCGACCATACCAATAGGTATGGTAGGCTATTAAGATCTATTAAGATCGGCAAAAAAAAGTTTTTTTAATTTCACTCAAAATGAGTTATTTGGGTCATAAATGACCTAAATACAAAATATTTTCATGGTGTCTGTCTGTCCGTCTGTAACACGATAACTCAAAAACCGCTAAACCGATTTTAACCAAATTTGGCACAAAAATACTGTGGCACCCGAGAATCTGGCCATTAGTTTTTGGTGGGTGTGGGGGGTTGGTAAGGGGGTACGGGAGGGGGTTAAAAATTTTAAAAAATCGCAACTCTAAAATTACAATTTTTTTGTATCTGCTAATATAAATTACTTCTATTCCAATAAAAAATTAACTAGTTTTAGGAAACTGGAGAAAATACGGAGAATAAAAATTCGTTCTCTAAGATGAGCACTACTAAGTAATTTTTTAAAATTCGATCCATAAGGGGGTGTAATTAGATAAAGGGGTGTAATTATACAAAAAACAAAATCTGTATTAGGAGTATGAACTTTTGAACAGAAGTAGCGCATTTGAACATTGATAAGCGATTTTTGGAAATTTATATCCTAAGGGTTGTGAAACTGGGGGTGAAATTGTGTACAAAAAATGTAGTTCTAGAAGTATGAAATTTTGTACAGAGTTTCCTTAAGTGACGAAAGTGAGTACCTAGAAGCTAATTTTTGACATTTATCCCCTAGAAATATGGGATGAAAATTTGTACAAAAATTTGTTACAATCGGTTTTAAAAGTATGAAATTCTGCACATACGTTCCTTATGCAACGTTATTTAGCACTAAGTAGGACTTTTTGGAAATTCGCCCTCTAAGGGTGTAAAATAAGGGGTGAACGTTCTGAAACAATAATTCTGTTGAAGGAATATGAAAATTTGCACAGAAGTTCCTTATGCAGCGTAATTTATTAATTAGAGTGATTTTTGAAATTCATTCCTTTAGGGGGGTAAAAATTTGTATAATTTTTATGTAAAATCCGTTCTAGGACTATAGGAGTATGCAATTTTGTACAGAGGTCCCTTATTAATAACCTGTATGCCAAATAAAAGATTATTTTTTTTTTCTTTTTAAAAATAAAAAAAGGGGGTGGGCTACCCTTATCACTTAAGGGTATAAGAATAAATAACAACCTATTTTCAGAGCTACTCAATATACATACAAAATTCCATCAAAATCGGCCAAGCCGTTTCGGAGATGGTAACAAAAGAATAAAAAAACAACCGCTATTAAAAAATAGGGGATGATGGTAGAACGGTAAAAATTTAGTGTTTTTTGTATTTTTAATGCCAAATAAAAAAAATAAAAATTTTTTTTTTTTTCAAAAAATAAAAAAAAAATGAGGGTGGGTTACCCTCTCGGCTACCCTTATCAGTTAAGGGTATAAAAAATAGAACAAGCTATTCTTAGACGTACTGAATATACATATAAAATTTTATCAAAATCGGTCAAGCCGTTTCGGAGATGGTAACAAAAAATTAAAAAAAAACAACCCCTATTAAAAAATAGGGGAAGGTGGTAGAACGGTGAAAATTTAGGGTTCTTTGTATTTTTTAATGCCAAATAATGTAAAAATAAAAACATTTTTTTCTTTTCAAAAAATAAAAAAATGAGGGTGGGTCCCAGCTACCCTTATCACTGAGGGTATAAAATATAACAATAAATAATAGATAACAACCTATTCTCAGACCTACTGAATATACATATAAAATTTCATCAAAATCGTTCAAGCTGTTTCGGAGGAGTACGGTAACTAAAAACTAAAACTGTAACACGGGAATTATATAGATATTATATGTATAAAAACTGCGAAGTGCGGAGAGCGGAGAGCGGAAAGACTGATTATAGCAATAGATGAAATTTAAAACTATTCAAGAAAGTACACACAAAACAAGGCAACGCCGCGCGTCTATTCGTTCAATTCCGAGCAAAATAGCAAGGCTCCACGAAGTTGGGGCCTCGCTCGCCAAAGCGAGGCCCCATCGACAGGTCGGATTTTGATGCGAGACGAGACTTCTAGGGTATTAAGATATTCTTTAGTAGTAGTTTAAATTTACAAGAAAGGAAATCCAGAAAATATCCAGTGATTTTCAAAATTTAAGCAAAAAAATATTTTTTTTTGGAAAGGGATAGCCGGATTAATATAGGAAATCTGCCCCCGCGTCTTTTTTGAAATTATTAATGGGTTAGTTGCAATGACTAAAGAATATAAGGACATGTAACGCCCATATACGGGCTGCATCAGAATTTGTGTCCTTAGACACCATTCTTTTGATGACAAACAATGATTCATCATCTGGTCACCAGCGACAATTTTAGCGATTTTTAATAGTTTGTATGTAGTGAACTTTTTATTAACTTTATTACAATGGTGATTAGTTGTTCAGCTTTCAAGTGACAAAGCAGCAGCTATAAGAAAGAGCCGGGAGTTACGTTTCATAGGTAAATAAACAGTCCACTCCACCTTTTTAGCGTTTTCTTATTGAATTCGATAATTATTTTTCTGATATTATACGTACTTGATGTGTACTATACATCGGTACTAGTTTTATACCTTTTGTTAACATTTTAATACGTTTTTTTCGTCATTAATTAGTATGATACCATCGTATACACCATAGGCATAGTCAAAACATTTATCAAAAAATATAAATATCTCTTCAAACAGCTAGGTTAAGAAAAATATGTGCCACGGCACTGTTTGATGACATCGTCACAATTTGCTCTCGGGTGTTATTTGTCCTTGGATTCTTTAGTCATTGATAGTTGCAATTTAATACATAAAATGACATCAACAATAAAATCTAGTTTATTGTTAGGTTACCTAAATAAGCGAAACTTTAGAGGAATACGATTGCTGGTTACAGAAAATCCCAGTAGATGCGTTATAATGCGTCAGCTTGTATCAGCTTGACGCGAATTTTTGAAAAACCCAGTCTTTACGTAATCATTGCGTAGCAATATGAATTGAAAAAACAGTTTTTTTTGAAAATCTCGAAAACCGTTTGAGATAAAGAGCAAAAAATTTAGGTGAATTATTTAGATTGAACACCAAATCGATCCCCTGAGTGCAAGTCAAAAAAGCCGCGGGGGCAGATTTCCTATATTAATCCGGCTATACCCTTTTCAAAGTAAAATAATTCGATTATTTTGGACTTATTTGAAAAACGGTAAAAAGAAAATATATTTCATTTATCGAGATTTACCAGCCCTGAAAATATTTGCCCTTATTTAAGACTCGCCCTGTATTATTGTTATTTAGAAGGATTACCCTTAAGTTACAGCGTAATTTTTATTTACAGGTCCAAATAGTGAGTCCCCGACGCCAAATGTAATTCTAAAAACAATAAGAGAGCTAAGTTTGAACCATATTAATGGAATTTTAGTAATTATATCGGCACATTCAAAAGATTCCTTAAGTTTCGGATTAGCCGTCGAGCGGGCTATTAACGATGACCTTCATGTCAAGTTTTTAAGTGTATCGGAAGACTGTGGCAAAAACGCATTAAGTAGGGAACAACAGAAGAGCTCAAATCAAAGCGGGATGGTTTTGATCTATAAAATTGCCGGTGCCCTTTCACAGTGTAATAAATCCTTATCCTATATATTCGAATACTGTACTAGAGCTGTGCAATTCCTCGTCAGCGACAGCAGTACCATGCGACAGGATTTATTTCCGAAGAAAATTAGTTACTGTCAAAAATCTTCTTCAGATATACACGGAAACAATTTTTTACCTACATCTGGTATGACTAAAGAAAATTTACAGGAGGTATTGACAGAATTACTTAGCAATTTGATCAAAAATAATAAATTCGTGCTTAGTCCTGGGGACATCTGCATATTATTAATTAATAACCTGGGAGCATTCAAAAGGCAAGAAGAGTTTGTAATCATGGGAATAGTAGCCGCCTTTTTTGAAGCTAAAAATTTACAGGTTGTCAGATTGTATATTGGGCGATATTTTCGTATTAATGATAATGTTGAACTAAATATTTCTTTGTTGAAGAATTTCGATGAAGACCTTGTGACATACTTAGATGCCTCGTGTAGTGTGCCAGGTAATTTTTAGTTTACAATTAAAATCATTGACACACTTTACAAAATTTCTGAAACTGAAAATTGAAATTGGTCAGAAGACATTGTTGAAATTAAAAGACCTTAAATAAAAAGTTAATAAAACGTTGTATTTTCACAGCGCGCAGCAATTGATTTTTTGACAATATTTTTAAATTTCTGTGTGACAAACTGCGACGAAAATGATATAAAAAAAATAAAAAAATGCAAATTTTAAGATTGATTTTAATAATACAAAAATGTTTCTGATATACCCCAAGTTATAACCCACTAAAATTTGGTGTGTATTCTATAATCACAACCAGAGATATAATACATATAATAAGCCGCTTACACATTATAAGAACTTTCAAAAATAATGTACAGGGTGGGTCAAATTCGACGCTTTTAAATGGAAACACCCTTTTCTATAGGAGATAGACAAAAACTAATATCGGTGTCTGGAGCTCAATTTTTGTCAAAAACATGATGGTGAAAACCGCTATCGATATCTGTTACCGTTTCGGAGTTACGGTTTTTCAAAAATATGCATTTTTAACAAATCGCTGTAACTTTTTTGCTATGGAAAATTTTTTTTTTTTTATGAAAACATTTTCAAAGCACCTTTTTACGTAGAATTTAATGGTTTAAGTATAATTTTCTTAAAATTAATAATTTAAGAATTATCAACAGAAAATTTGATTTTTTATATGGGGCACCCTGTATATTTTTAATTTATTGAAAATAATTTAAAATTACCTTTCCAAAAATATAACACACTTGATATTTTGCTCGATTCCTCTTCGAGATATAGAGTATATAAAAATTCGCCCGCTTTAAATAAGTAGGCTTTGAGCGGCACCGGCTGTAATGCAAAAAAATTCTAGCTGTGAGCATCAATTAAAACGAAAATAATATGTGCTATGAGAGATGCAGAATTTTATAACAATTTAAAATATATTTAACCAACATCAACACATTTAAACTATATCTAATAACAATAAAAATAAGTAGCAAACCAAGACATGAGATTTTGCCGTGTTTGAGTTCGAGAAATGTTCGACATATCGACCGGCTTCTGTTATGGACAGACGGGGTAGTTTTTGAACATTTCTCGCGGAATTCGTTAACTCAGTGGGGGTAAAAGATACCCTTTCATAACTGCTAAGTATTTTAATTCTTGTCTAGATTATACGAAATTATACGCAAATATATCCATAGGATTAGATCCATGGGCACTAAGTCAGGCGGCCTCGACGGCCAACGGCTGGGATCTTGGTTAGCTATCTAATTATTTTTGAAATTGGCTGCAAAAATTTGCTGATAACTTCAGCGATCAGAGGCGGTATGTCGTTTTGCATTGAAAAATATGTTTTCGAGTTCCATTAAGGGCATATCATCAATAAGGGGTCCAAAGCCTACTAATTAAAATGGCGAACTTTTAAAAATTCTGTATTTCGAAGGATAACAAAATATCAAGTGTGTTATATTTTTGGAAAGGTAATTTTAAATTCTTTTCAGTTAATTGAAAATATAGAGGGTGTCCCAAATAAAAAATCATTTTTTCTGTTGATAACACTTAAATTATTAATTTAAAAAAAATATTCTTAAACATATAAATTAAATTCTACGTAAAAAGGTGCTTTAGAAATGTTTTCATAGAAATACAAAATTTTCCATAGCAAAAAAGTTACAGCGATTTGTTAAAAATGCACATTTTTGAAAAACACCCCGTAACTCCGAAACGGTAACAGATATTGATTTGCGGTTTTCACCATCATGTTTTTGATGAAAATTGAGCTCCAGACGCCAATATTAGTTTTCGTCTATCTCCTATAGAAAAAGGTGTTTCCATTTAAAAGCGTCGAATTTGACCCACCCTGTACAAGGTGTCCCATTTTGGTTGAAATCATAGGGTATCTCCGTTATTAGTAAAGATAGAAGGATGCGGTTTGCACAAACTTTTTGTCTCATTTTTCGTCTCACTTTTTTGACAAACGGAAGATGCTGTTTTTATAGCCCTCTTCGTTTCTGAGCTACAGGGTCTTTTTGAAATTTTTTTCAATTTGGGACAGCTCCCGTATCTCCGTTATATTGTAGATGATATCGAGAAGGTGAAAACTGGTTCTTATAATAGGACTTTTTACGTAGAATACAGTGGCGTAGTTTGTTTTTCTACAAAAAAAATATTTTTGAAAATATAAACTAAAGTTATGTTTTTTAAATGGAACACCCTGTATATTTATAAATCATATGATCCGTCTTGATATGAGCTTCTCAAAAATATATATCATTCTATATTTATTTTCACTATTTACTGCAATATTTAAAATATACAATTTTCTTATTAGTAGGCCGTGATACATAACAAAAAAAAATCAAAATGGCATTTGCGAAAATAGTCATACACGTATTAAATTTTATTTGGGATTGAAATATTTTACTTTTGAACTGTTACCACTAAACACTGAACCTCTGAATATATTTTTATTTTTTTTGTAACGGGATAACGGGATAGGGTTTGGAAATATCTAAAAGATTGTTGTAGTTCCCACGTTATATTTCATATTTCAAAAATCCCGAAATACTCGAGAACGGACAAATCCGGGAATCAGGAAGGGCATCGTATGGTTCCAATTCATTGATTTTGGAAATAGTTATTTAACAGAATTCTAATATTTTTAAAGTTGTGACGGAGAGCCCCATCTTGCTGAAAGTATATTCTACGTAAATTAGCTAAAGAAATATTTAAAAGTTCCGGTACGATAGCTTCGAAGATCTACAAATAGCGGTAGAGAGTTAAGTTTCCCTGATATGTAAGTAATTTATTAGTGGCTTCTAAAATAAAACAAGAGACAGATAGAAGTATACTTTTAATAATTTTTTAGTTTCTTTTATTATCAACTAGCGTGTACCAGCGACTTCATTCGCGTCGAATTAATCATTTGTAATGGTGATGATAAAGCAAAGCAAGAATTTCCATTAACATACAAACTGGATAAAATTTTCTCACATTTATGTCAGCATGAGAAAAAACAATATGGCGATATTATTATATAATTTGGTAATTGAGGGGTAGTTTCATCTCGTTGGAATTTGACTTTCGAAAAATCCGTTTGCCAAAAATAAGCTTTTTACGTTAAGCAGTTTAAGCAGAATCGTGGTTAAGAAATTACCCAACTTTTTGGAACACCCTGTTTGATTTTTTAAAAAAATTCAAAATATGTAAAAAACCCATATAAATTATGCTTGTCCAAGCGTTTTCCCGAAAGACTAACCGTTTTTTAAATAACAAATATTGTAATATTTGAGGGGCGTTTTCACCTTCTTGGAATTTGAGATTCGAGAAACCCCTCCTTATCGAACCTCTACACCCCACAGTCAATCCGTTTGCCAAAAATCAGCTTTAAACGTCAAGCAGTTTAAGCAAAATCGTGATTACTCAATGGTCATATTTTATGAAACACCCTGTATAAATTTATAAAAAATCTTAAAATATGTAAAACAACAAAATAAAATATACGTGTTTAAGAGTTTTTTCCGAAAAACTCACCGGTTTTTAAATAAAAAATATTTTAATATTTGAGGAATAGTTTCACCCCCCTAGAATTCGAGTTTCGAAAAATCCCTTCTTATCGAACATATCTCTACACCCTAAAGTCAGTCTGTTTTCCAAAAATCAGCTTTTTACGTCAAGCGCTTTAAGCAGGATCGTGATTAATCAATGACCAGATTTTTCGAAACACCCTGTATACATTTTTAAAAAATCTTAAAATATGTAAAAAAAACAAAATAAAATATACGCGTTTAAGCGTTTTTTCGGAAACTTGACTGTTTTTTAAATAAAAAATATTGTAATATTTAAGGGGTGGTTTCACCCTCTTGGAACTGGAATTTCGAAAAATCCCTTCTTATCGAACCTCTACACCCTAGAATCAACCTGTATGCCAAAATTGAGCTTCTTACGTTGAGTGGTTTGAGCAGAATCGTGATTAATCAGTATGTCAGTCACTTAAGGATTTTATATATTAGTATAGATCATGGCCTACTAATAAAATTATCTTTTATTAAAATTTTAAATATTGCAGTAAATAATGAAAATAAATATAGAGTGATATATATATTTTTGAGAAGCTTATGACAAGCCAGATCATATAATTTATAAATATACAGGGTATTCCATTTAAGAAAACAAAACTTTAGTTCATATCTTTAAAAATATTCTTTTCATAGAATAACAGAGCACGCCACTGTATTCTACGTAAAAAGTTCTACTATAAACAGTTTTCATCTTCTCGATATATTGAACAATAACAGAGAAACGAAGAAAGCTATGAAAATTTTGTTTACGGCATCTTCCATTTGACAAAAAGGGGGACAGGTTTGTGCAAACCGCACCCTTTTATCTTCACTAATAACGCAGATACCGTATGATTTCAGCCAAAATGAGACACCCTGTACACTTCAAATGAATATTTTTTGTAGGTTGGTTTCCGGTTTATCAAGATGCTCCCATTTTAAAAGAAAGTGTAATTCAAAGCTGTCTTCGAAGAAAGTGCCGATTATCTCCACCAATCAAAGGACCGAAACTAAGAGATAGATTATCCAATGTGATTCAACTATGCCTTCAGTTTGCATGCGATGCTTTAATATCATGCGAAAAAATGCTTAATAAAATAGATTCTGAAATAGGTAAAAATATACTATTGCCGTGAGCACTATTGAGTCAACGGAAAAAATATTTAAGGAAATGGTGATACAGGTAGTAAAATGCGCTCGATAGCTGAAGTGCTGAATAAAAGGTCATGCAACCATAAACTTAACTTAAGTTACCCGTTTACATTTTTCTTAAGCTTAAGTAAGATTTTGGACCACACTGTAGGTGGAGATATAGGATGTGTGTATAGTATTTTATTTGAAGCTGTTGCAAATAAGTTTGGCGACTATAGGGAAGATGACGAAATCTCATTTAATATGTGGATTGAAGCGATGGAAAATGCCTGTAATGCTCTCAAAAAGTAAGAATATTGTAAATTTTTAGTAAAATTTTGAATTCAAATTATACATACTCATTCGCCACGGAGTATTGTAGCCACATGATTAGATTTTTAGAAATGGTGAGTGATGGGATCGTTGGAGAACTACCAAATCTACAATTTACAATTATTTCCAAAAGGTACAAAATGTCCCAAATAAATAAAAAAATTCAAAGTTAAAAGTACAGGGTGTTTCAAAAACATGTGCCATCTCTCGTTGGGAGATTCCCCACGTAAAAATAGGATTTATTTTTCATATTAACGTAGGTCCGATTCGGCTTTGTTTCTTAGCTACAGGGTGTTAAAGTCTTAATATTTTTTCGATTTATTTTAATTTTCTTTTATGTACATTTAGCGTTTCGAAGGAAATTTTGAGGGTAAAAGTTACTATAAATGCGACATATTTTAAAGCTGAAAAAGTGTCGACATATTCACCAGGGACGTGCATATGGGTTATCACTGGAATGTTTTTCTAAAAAAAGCATGTACGCCACTGACATTTTTCTCTCTTGTTAGCGAAATAGTGTAAGCAGTTTAATACCGATTAGAAGTTGTCTCTTGATATTTTGTCGATTTCGGCCTCATTGATAAGATAAACGCAATTTTATTAATTTGCCTTGATCCAAGTCTAATAACAGCCTTTAAAAAAATAATATCCTTAACTTGCCAAAGTTTTAAATAAGTACTCATTGACTCCTCATCAAAAAATATGGAAAAAAGTTCCTATAAACATGGGTATGGAAATGCATAGTTTTAGAGTTACAGGATGTTAGAACTTTTTAAAATTAGGTTTTTTGTAATTATTTTAAATACCATTATTTTTTTATTTGAAATTGATGTAGGTTGGGCTAATAGTATACTAATTAATAGTAATAATATTTAATAATAAATTAGTTAAAAGATATAATTTATTAATTTTATTTTTATTTTAATTTTAATAATTATGATTAATAAAATTGCATTTATCTCATCAAGGACGCTGAATTCGAGAAAATATCAAGATATAACTTTTAATTGGCATTTAACGGCCTACATAATTTTGATATCAAAAGAAAACAAGTCTGTGGTGCACATGTTTTCTTTTTGAAAAATATACCAGTGATAAACCATATGCACGTCCCTGATGAATTTATCGACATTTTTTAGCATTAAAATATGTAGCACTTATAGTAAATTTTACCTTTTTTCTTTAATCCTATCGTTTTTAAATATTTACGATATTGTGAAAATACAGTAACAATTTTAATTCTTCATTTCTCTACGAGCATTTCTCTACCAAGTTTTTAAAATCAAATATTATACTGAAGTTTTTCTATTTACTAAATTTTGTGTTGCAATAATAAAAATAATATCTTATACAGGGTGTCTAAAAATGTATTTTAAATAATTACTAGCTTTAGACGGCAATAACTTGTTTAACTTTAATGGAACACCCTTTATATTTTCCGAGAATCAGATGCACAATTTAATTGGCTATCAAATTGTATTATACCATTATTTACCTATCTCTTCAAGTTTTCATAGAAAATGCATTTTCTTATAATTTAGACCTCAATATCAATCAATATACCCATATACAGGGTGAGTTTCGTATGATGTTCTCTATGGGTATCTCGGAAACTATTGGAGATAGATAGTCGGTTAAATGGGGAAAGAATTGCAGTTTTGTGGGGTCATAAATATGCGCCTTTCAAATTTTTGAAAAAGTTCATGGCTTACTAGATATTTTGAAAAACCAAATTTTGGCGATTTTAAAAATTTACACTAATTCCATTATAATCTATTTTAGACAAACAGGTTTCAGATAAAAGTTGTAGATAATCACATCCCTAATGAGTTTGTGTTTTTTTTTTCTAAAGCCTATCATTTTTGACATATGACACAAATATATATGTTTTTTTAAATGGAAACCATAGTTGGCCATGACTTCATGAAATGCGCCATTTTTCAAGCTTTTCAGCGATATAAGCTATAATATGTTTTTCTCGAAAAATTATGAGTTATAGCCAATTCTTATAATTTTTAAACAATTTCACTTAGTTAGCCATGGAAACAAGTTTCATAGTCGTTGTTATCAGAAATGTCAAACTGTCAAATCCAAACTTTTTAAATTACAATAAACAAAAATTGTAAATATGAATTTTTCAAATGAAGAAAAGCATGTAGGATTATTAGTTACATTTTTCTTGGTCATACATTTTTGAGGATACGTTGACCGGTGAACGTTACTTACGCTTTTTAGGGAACGGTTTTCAAGACATGTATTGTTAGAAAAGTTAAATTTAGAGACTCACACATCAATAGAGTGGTTCCAACATGACTTTCATTATGACACTCCCCCCATAATGAAAGAAATGTTAAAAATTATTTATCATAATTATGCAAACTCAGGGATAGGAAGCGGTGGGTGGACCAATTGCATAGGCCTCCTCGATCATCTGACCTATCCATTTTCGATTTTTTATGCGGTAAGGTTAAAACACGGTTTACAAAAGAACTTATGAATTAGGAGAGGCACTCGAAGAAGCGGTACGAGAGAAGTTTAATAAAGTCGAATCGATAGGTACTATATTATTACACTTTTAGTTTCTACGATTAAAATAAAGGGAAATAAGGTTTGCTGCACTTTAATCTTACCTTTTTTGAAATATTTACATTTTGTGAAAATGCAGTAACACTTTTTATGCTTCGTAGGCAGTATATTACACAGTTTTAAAAAGATGCATTTATGTACTCAAAACAATGGCGGATTTTTTGAACATTTTCTAAAATAATTTAAAGTGTACTGTACGTCTGCTGGATCTGTGTCTATGAAAGGAATGCGGACAAAAAACAAATAAACAACAATATATTTGATACGTCGACTTGACGAGTACGTCACCGCAAAATCGCTCCGCCCACTCATTTTATTGGCGACTTGCAAATTTGTCGAATTTTTATTGATGGGACGCGTCGTCTAATTTTTTACGAAAAACATGGAGAGAATATCGTTTCCCCTCTCACGGATACCTCGTAGCTACAGAACGGACAGACGTACTGTATGTATATAGTGATGATAATTTTTAAGTTTTAGTTTGATGTAATGGAAATTGTAAAGAACTGATAGCTTATATCGCTGAAAAGCTTAAAAATGGCGCTTTTATGAAGTTATGGCCAACTAGGGTTTCCATTTAAAAAAAAACATATGTTTGTGTGATATGTCAAAAATGATAGGCTTTAGAGAAAAACGGAGAACACAATCTCATTAGGGATGTGATTATCTACAACTTTTATCTGAAAACTTTTTGTCTAACATAGATTATAATGGAATTAGGGTTAATTTTTAAAATACCTGAAATTTGATTTTTTCGAAATATCTAGTAGGTAAGCTGTAATGAACTTTTTCAAAAATCTGAAAGGCGCATATTTATGACCCCACAAAAGTGCAATTCTTTCCCCATTTAATTGACTCTCTATCTTCAGTAGTTTCCGAGATACCGATAGAGAACATCGTAGAAAACTCACCCTGTATGTTATGATATTTGTAACGTTATGGCCGTTTAAAGCTAGTAATTATTTCATATACATTTTTAGACACTCTGTATAAGGCAGTATCAATTATTTTATTACAACACCCAATTTAGTAAATAGAAAAACTGCAGTACAATATTTGGTTTTAAAAGCTTAAATACGCCTAGAGAAACGAAGCATTAAAAGTGTTACTGCATTTTCACAAAATCGTAAATATTTCAAAAAAGGTAAGATTAAAGTGCGGCAAACCTTATTTCCCTTTAGTTTAATCGTAGAAACTAAAAGTGTAATAATATACAGAGTATTCCATTTAAAAAAATACAACTTTGATATTTTTTATTTATTTGGGACATTCTGTACTTACTTTACTTTTTCGTATCCGGACCATATAGGTACATAATGTACAATTATAATTTAAAATTCTTTAGCCCAGTACCGGGCGACGTCTAGAGCATTTTCATCGGCGTTCCATAAATTTTCAAGGGTACATGTATGAGGGCATCTTATGCATGACAGCAGATGCTCCATATTTTGGATTTCGCCGCATTCACATTTTGTGTCTTCGTCCGTAACAAGTCCCCATTTCGCTTTGTTGGTTTTAACAGGCGCTACTCCTGTTCTGATGCGGTTTAGGGACTTCCACGTGACCCAATCAAGATGTTGGCCTGCAGAATGTTCTTCTTTAAGAGTATCAAGCGGTGGATCTTCTTGAACAGTTTTTAAAAAGTTTTTCCGAGATCGGAGTTTGCTTGATCCTTGGAACTCGCCAAAAAGTGGATGGTGCTCGTCGAACATCTGTTTAAACTTTTCAGTGTGTTCAGCCGCTTTGCGGCGCTGTGAAGGAGCTGCAAATCCGGAAGCGCTGTAAAGTTGAGATAAGCTTGTTGCTTTCATACACCCTGTTATTCGGCACGTTTCATTTAAAGCAACATCAACTTGTTTGGCTTGGCTCGACCTATTCCATACAGGACACGCATATTCTCCCGTGGAAAAACATCAAGCCCGTGCAGTTGTTTTTAAGACAGATGGATTTGCGCCAACTTGCTTCCAGTTAGCCTTCTTAAAATGTTATTTCTAGCGCTGACTTTCTGGCGAGTTTTCTGACAGTGATACCTATATGTTAGGTCCTGTCTAGTATCACTCCGAGATACTTCGGCTTTTCTGTATGCTCCAGTTAGCTACCTCTCCAGAAGATATTAAGTTTTGTTGCAGCGTCTCTATTGCGTAGGTGGAAAGCGGAAACCTGCGTCTTGGAAGGGTTGGGTTTAAGTGAGTTCTGGTCGTAGTAACTAGCCATTGTATTAAGTGCACCTTCCAGTTTTTGTTCGACGCTGTGAAAGCTGGTATCTTGTACAGCTATTGCCAGGTCGTCAGCATAAAGAAAATGTTTTGAGTATGCAGGGAGAGGTTGATCGTTGGTATATATGTTACGGTTAAGGTCCGATGTCCGGTTAATGTCGACATTACCCGGTTAATATCGAGAATAACACACAACAAAACAACCAAAAACATAACCTAACCCAAACATTAACATGTTAATGTCGACATTAACTGGACATCGGACTTTAACCGTAACATATATTAATATATATGTTACTGTTAAAATTTAATAATAGCATTTGCGCTAGAACGCTCCCTTGGGGCAGCTCATTCCTTTGAGTTCTCCATCTGCTCTTACTATTGTTCAGAGTGACATAAAAGCGTCGGTTCTGCATCATTGTCTCGACCACTTTTACCAGGTTATAATCCTTAATTGTAGCATATATTTTAGTTAGAAGGTGCTTATGGATGATGGTATCATATGCGGCGGTTAAATTGACAAGAGCTAAGACCCCCTGCCCAGTGCATGATTTTCCCGGTCTAAAGCCCGCTTGCTGAGGAATAAGTTTCGATTCTACGATTTTCTACATGCGTCTGAGAATCATTCGCTCGTAAAGTTTGTACAAATGACACAGCAGGGAGATCGGTCTATAGCTACTGGCCAGTTCTGGATCTTTAGCCGGTTTCAGGAGAGCTACAACTTTAGATTTTCGCCAAGATTTCGGGATTTTGTGGCTGTCGGTGCATTCTTGAAACAATTTCAAAACCCACATTTTTGTTGCTGGGCCGAAGTTCTTAATCTGCTCGGTACACAAATCATCTACGCCTGCTGCCTTCCCGTTTTTCATATTGTTTAAAGCGTAATTGAGTTCTTTTAAACTGTAGGGATTCTCCAGGATGTTAATCTCGCTTTCTCGATCTCTCTCTAATCTTGGTATTCTAGTTCTCTTTTCGAGCTTTCCATTCTTCAGCAGCTGGTGGGCAATCTGGTTAGGTTTGATGTTACAGATTTGTTTCCTTTCAATTGGGTCGCCATCAAGTTTTTTTAGGAAATTCCATGCGATCTTACTACTGTGAGTCATATCAATTTGCTCTATCTTGTCTATCTATCTTTGCTGTCTGGAATTACTCAGTTCTTGCATTAACATGGGGACACGGAAGGAGCCTCCCCGATTGCAATAGTGTATCAAAATTAGTAAACAAAAGTACTATTGTTGGCGTCCCCTGGAAACGTCTTGTTTTAAACGGCCAATCCTTCCACCACCGGATCGAAGTGTACGAACCAACGAAAATGATATTAATTTGTAGCTTTCGTAGTCCTCCAATGATTCCATCACTCACAATTTCTAAAATTCTAGTCATGTGGCTATAGTATTCCGTGTCGAATCAGGTGAATAACCCTGTATGCATTTCTAGGTATGGAGGTGCTAATATCGACCAGTACACAGTCTACAATCCTATATCTGCATGTTTAGATACAATGAAAGCACATTCAAACAAGGAGTGTAATCCGATCGATGTTTTCAATCTCGGTGTTTCTAAAGCAGAGGACGTTGCTTTACAATCTATTAAGCCAGGTTGTAAATACCCCAATGCAGAGGCGCATGCTGTTGGAATTTGGTTAAGAGCCACTTACGAAGGAGTAAAACTAAAGTGTTAAAATCCTGATTTATTCAATTTTTAAGTTGAAAATTAATTACAATTATTTTATTTGTATGTCAGCTGATTTACAGGAAGAATGTGATATATTGGTAATTATTTATTACAATAAAAATAATTATAAAGTTTATTTTAGAACGTTTGCAATAAATATTTTTTAGATTGTTATATTATGTTTTTTTATCTAACAGATAGACATACCTTTAAAGTAATACAATTCTATAATTATTACATATCCTGACACAATTAATTTTAATAGGCGATTACCAATTAAAATCAAAATAAACGTAAAATAATAACTTGACATGAATTCATTATTGGATAGTTAGTTACCGGTAGAGGCTAAACGCTTCCTTACAGCAAGATCCTACTGCAAACTCAAATTATGCGTCCAGTTCCAGAAGTGATTTATAAAATGCTGATAACTGTCCAGAGTCCAAAGCGTTATGTCTAAGATCCGGCTACATGATTATTACCCTCATCGTATTTTTAATCAAAACATAATTTTTACGAACATTTATGAATAGGAGAATACACTTTTCACAGGGTGCCTATCAAAAACTTGCCGCAAAAAGGGGTTGCCCCGGTTCAAAGTTTCTACTACGAGCTCAGTAACAGTGCATCGGGCATCTGTAGCTCCTATAATAAAAAAACTTATTTCATTATATTATACGTTTAATCATCATCAATCATACAGGATGTTTAAAATTCTACGTCAAACTTTCTAAAATATTGTTACGGATTCCGTGAGTCCACTAATTTAAACTCACGATAAAATACTTAATTAATTTATTTTCTCACTTTATACTAGTGATGGGATCACTCGAGCGAAAATTCGCTCGAGTACTCGATTATTGAAATAACCGACATCGCTCGATTATGAACGAGCGATGCAAGTGATGAGTACCAAGCGACGAACGCAAGCGATGCTAGAATGAAATAAATTAAAATCCGATTTTAATGTGACCTACTCGATAAAAATCCGAGCGAATTTTCTACATACATTGCAGGTAGCAAATTTATACGACGCCGTATATACCGGGTGCGTCTCAAAAGTGGCTCACCCCTATTACTTTTTTATTTTTTAGATAAAAAAAATGAGATTTGGTATGTTAGTATATGACATAAATTAGGATTGATTGACGTATTCAATTGTTTTCTGTCACTTCCTGTTTCATCGGAAATGACTACAATTTTTGATTTTTAAATGGTACCCTCGGTATTTTTTTTACTTTATTCGATAGAAAATTACATTCTAAATAGAATGACGTATCATATGTCAACTTTTGACATATTCGCTTAAAAACAAATTGTATTTTAAATTTCAATCTAGAGTGCCATGGCTGTGTTAAAAACACTAATTTTTAATCAAGGAGCCTTGGAAAAATAGATTTAATCATCTAATCTTTTTAGTGTCTTGCCCTGGCCGGTTAAAAGATGCCCAAATCGTATTTTTGATCATATCTCACTTTTTTTCAAATGGAACGAGGTAGATCATTAGCATATTTCGAAAAAGAATTTTTTTACGAATAATTTGGTACCACACACTTGGTACTTCCAGTCAAATTGTCGTTATGAACCGCATGTTACAATTTCAAATAAACCATATGCGAAAATGTCAAAAGTTGACATGTGATATGTCATTCTATTCAGAGTGTCATTTTCTACCGAATAAAGTAAAAAAATACCGAGGGTGCGATTTAAAAATCAAAAGTTGCAGTCATTTCCGATAAATTCATCCTCGTATATACTCTAAGTTTGCACAAAATTATCAAGTTTTTTATTCTAGGAGCTACAGATGCCCGAAGCACTATTGCCGGACCTGTATAGAGTATGACACTGTAATAAGAATAACTACTTGCTTACGAAGTTGCGCAAGGTTGATTGAGTTAGTGGACGGATTTACGTTGTCTCGTTCCTTTTCGCTTAGCACTGGGCAATTTCCGTTCCGTCTCGATTTTTGAGCCCAAGTCGGACTTGAATCTAGAGAGACATAAGTGTTGCGTGGTCACCTATTGCCGTTGCGTCGGTTTGATAAATTTAGTTGTTTGTGTAGCAAGCGGTTTTTATAATATTTTGACTTTTGGAACCTTTGGCGTTACAACAGCAAAATAAAACACTAAATCACCACTATACACCAAAACACTTTTACTTTTGCACTGGACGCGCGCTTCGCTAACCATGTTAGCATCATCACCAGATGATTAACACTAAATTAATATCTATAAATTGAATATTGTTATTGGGCAAACTAGAAGATCAATATTAACTAGATTTAGAGAACATATGGCTGAGATAAGATATGGTAGACCGGACAATTCTTGCGTTCCTGAACATATTGTTGATAAAGAACATTGTATAGATATTAATAATTTAAAATTAATTAAACAAGTCGCAAGTTAAAGGCAATCAGATGCATATGAGACTTATGAGAGCATCAAAATTAATAATTGTAAAGATAGTATGAAGAGAGACAATGGTCCATTCCATTTCTCGTTCCTACTGCTCTAGTTCGGTAATTAATTGTTAGGCTCGGTTGGTTTTGACACGCTTGACCATTTTTTTGGCACGCTTACTCGGAGCCAAAAGAACGAGTATATAAACGCTCAATTTGTAGATATTAGTTTATTTTTGATCATCTGCTGATGATGCTAACATGGTTAGCGAAACACGCGTCCAGTGCAAAAGCAAAAGTGTTTGGTGTATTGTGGTGATTTAGTGTTTTATTTTACAATCACTTTAGTTAAAATTTGACGAAAGAATAAAAACAATTAAGAGTCGAAAGTTTTGAAGCAGGTGGTTTCTATTTGGCAAGTAGACGACAAAAACACAGTCTTATCCATATATTTGATATGGGAAGTGCCAACAAAATTATTTACCATATGAAATATAATGGAAAGACTGATTTTGTTGTTTATTTGTCAATTGGAAAAATCTAAAGTATAGTACGTCTGTCCGTTCTGTAGCTACGGGGTATCCGTGAGAGGGGAAACGATATTCTCTCGATGTTTTTCGTAAAAAATTAGACGACGCGTCCCATCAACAAAAATTCGACAAATTTGCAAGTAGCCAATGAAATGAGTGGGCGGAGCGATTTGCGGTGACGTACTCGTCAAGTCGACGTATAAAATATATTGCTCTTTATTTAAATATTTTTTGTCTGCATTCCTTTCATAGACACAGATCCAGCAGACGTACTGTAACTGGGCTAATTTATTTCGTCTTCATAAGCTAAACGATTTTGATAAATTTTAAGAACTAAAATAATGACTTAGATATTATGTATATATACATATATAATCGAAATAAAAAAATAAATACATATTTAACAAAATAAAATACATAGAAAACATATATTAACATTAACAATAAATGCTGCACATATTGATTATCATTGTTTATTTAATCATTTGTCTAAAATCATCCAATTTATAAATACTTGTGGACAATCTTCCAATGGCATTTAAGAGCGAGACGATTTCATTCCTCTGGATCTGCATTTGTTTTTTGTTTAGTAATTTGTCGTCATAATCGAAGTGACCACTAAATAGTATTTTTAAAGCTGTACCCAAGCCCTGAGTTTGTAGTTTACCCCATAACCGACATTTGTCACAACCAACGCAATCCATTATTCTGGTAATATTCCTGAAGTGCTGCTTAAATTCGTATTTTAGTTTATTGGCTTCTTTGCTACCCCTGAACATCGTTGTTTCATCGAAATGATTTGGAAAGCTCTTTATTACTGATAGTAAATCTTTTACTGCCATTTTAGTGTCATAGTCTTCAGAGGTATTACCTACAATTAAATTGAAAATTAATTACAATATACCGTGCTGTCAACTCTTACTTTTGGGTCGTTATTTACATATACAGGGTGGCGCACCTCATTCGCCTCGGTTGATTATACGAAAACGGAAAGATGTAGAAACAAAATATTTTATGGGTATATGCGGGGAGGGAATGTGCACAATTTAAAATTATTTGAAAATGTACAGGGTGTTTCAGAACTAAGATCCATACCAAAGTTATATTTTTTCTTATGGAACACCCGGTATTTTATTTCATTTTTGGATTCTTGGGCCCAAAAAAAGGTATTTATTATAAAGGTTAAATATGTTTAAAATCTTTGGTTTTTGTCTGAAGATAGTCTGATGTCTGAAGTTTAATTGATAATACCGCGAAATACCGTTAGAGTAATAGTAGTTGCATAAATTGTGTTGTAAATAGTATAAGTTGTGTGTACAGAGTGAGACAAATAAATTCGTTAAGTATTTTATCGTGAGTTTAAATAGTGAACCCACGGAATTCGTAACAATATGTAAAAATGCATGCTACATTAGAATAGACTATTAACACCCTGTACATTGTTTTTCAGAACTAATTCCTGTGCTGACTTTTAAGCCAGAGAAATAAACTTTACTGAAAAATTTAATTCCTTCGTTTAATGTATACAGGGGTAATCAAGACGGCTGGTGTCTGCAATTTTCTGGCTAAAGTTAGTAACTTTTTTCAAAATCGACATTACTTTGTGGACATCATTATTTAGATTTATAACAGTTTACTTAAATTTAGCTACAATATTTTAATACTTATTAAACTTCATTATCCATTATTTTATCAAGAAAAATAGCGCAGTATCTGCTGGCGGAATGAATGGATATGTTACTAATGATTTTATTTTGTGAGGAAAATTGTTTCTTCGCCTCAAGAGCCTATGCTCAAAGATATCCAAATAGGAATCTTCCTGATAAGCGTTCCTTGAAAAAATACTTTTCTATTTGGCAGAGCTATGGTAGTGTGGTTTATAAAAAAGGCAGAAACCTGTCGTTGGAAGTAAAGAAAATGAATTTGCCGTAATTGGCTCTTTTATAGAAAATCCATATATCTACGAGTGATCATAAAATAAATGAGAGAACTATTTCTTCGTTTTTCTTGAAAGAATAATAAATACATATTTAATAAATATTATTTAGTAAACTACTGTAGGCAAATTAAATAAAAGTAAACTGCTATACATTTAAATAAAGTCCATAAACTAATTTCGATTTTGAAAATAGCTACTAACTGTCACTAGAAACTTGACATCAGCCATCTTGGTTCCCATTTTATTGAAAAATGGCTCTTTATTCAAAATCTGAGCTAGATAGGTATAGGAAACCCTATACCTTTTATTATAAATTTAAATCTGCTTCGATTTATTAAAAAAAATACAGGGTGTTGTATTTGAAATAACGAAGTTTTTATGTAAAATAAATATTTAAAATCGACCAGCAATTTTTGATACCCCTGTATACATTAAACAAAGCAATTCAATTTTTTAGTAAAGTTTATTCCTCTAGCTTACAAGTCAGCACAAGAATTAATTCTGAAAAGCAATGTACAGGGTGTTAATAATCTATTTTATTGTAGCATGCATTTTCAAATATCTTTAAATATCTCAAAAACCAAAGATTTTAAACATATTTAACCCTTATAATATATACCTTTTTTTGGGCCCAAGAATCCAAAAATGAAATAAAATACAAGGTGTTCCATAAGAAAAAATACAACTTTGGTATGGATCTTAGTTCTGAAACACCCTGTACATTTCAAAATAATTTTAAATTGTGCACATTGCCTTCCCACATATACCCATAAAATATTTCGTTTCTACATCTTTTCATTTTCGTATAATCAACCGAGGCGAATGAGGTGCGCCACCCTGTATATGGAAGTAAATCGCATATATGGAAGTAGATCTTATTAAGTTGGAGTGAGAGAAATACGACGGTGTGCTGTTGCGGCGTTGCCACATTTTCCGGACGCCTTTCCCTATCAAGTAAAGTAAAATCATGATCGCTAACCGCTTATTATTAAAACACTTTTTTTCGAAAAGATAACTAGATAAAATCATTAGATATGTTTCGCGAGCATCTGAAATGGAATTATAAGGATATCGTTAGGGTGTCCATTTTTTTGTCTGCCACATACTGTCTATAGCTAGGGTTACCAGATGAAAACTTATCCACCCCGGGCAAGCCTTTCGAAAAATCCGGACAAATTCGGACGTCATAATTTTTTAGCGATATAAGAGCAAAAATAGTTTATTGTTTTATTAGTAGTAAAAATGATACTTTTTGTGGTGAGTCTGTGGAGTGGACGTTTGATATACAGGCGAGGCACAAAAAATCATTTTTACTTCGAATAGAACATGCTATTTTTTTCAAACGCCACAAATAATTTTTTAAACACTTTCAAACGTTCGAAATAATATAAAAAGATTTAAAAGTAATACCTTGTAAGTAATTATACGTACATCAAGAAACTATGGTTACGCTCGTTGTGTGTGTGTGTGTGTGTGTGAATTTGATACTATGCATACTATGTCAGTTTTAATATATTTCGTACTTTTGTGCTTAGGCGTAAAAGTGATTTACTGTTATGCCTAGACGTTATAATTACTTTTTTATATTATCAATCACGTCTCAAGAATTAATACTTTTGTGACATTTGAAAAAAAAAATACATTTACAACTTTCAAAACTTAAAACTTACGAGGTAAAACAATGAATTTGCACTGCTGAATTTATTGACGATTTTTTAATTAACTAAATTTATTAAAACTAATATATTATTTTGCATTCTCGTGACATTTCTCAATGGAACATTAAAATCCGGACGCTTATGAGAAATCTGACCGAACTTAACCGGACATAGTAAAATCCGGATAAGTCCGGATTAATCCGGACGTCTGGTAATCCTATCTATGGCAAAAATATTAAGAAAGTTTTTGAAAACAACTACAAACAATTATTATTTCTAATGGATTTGGAGATATCGATTTTTGAATTCCGAGTTATAATAGCGCGAGCACTGTCGAACACCAACTCAATTCCACTTATTATAATTTAAGGTTTCTACTTGCACTTAAAATTTACTAGCTATGGGGAAAATTACAACGACTCGTTAATAAATAAACAAAGTACCACGAGACGTAATAAATCGTTAAGCTGAACTCTTGATGTACACTCTTCCCTAGAATTTTAAATACTGATTGGGTCCGTGGTTCGACCGGTTGACCGCGACGAATCTCTTTGTATTTTGTGATTTTTACTGTTCTCTTTCTTCAGTACGTTAATAACCGCATTGTACTCGTCTTACATATGGAAATCTCGACCCAAGACTAACCTTTGCCAGCCCGTAGTATAAAAGTATTATACTATATTACGAAAATATTAAAAACTATATTACGAAAATCACTAAATGGGTATCAAAACTGTAGTTGTTAAAACAACACAAGGAACTCTATAAGGTGGAGTAACCTCCCCCTACTCTGGAGCTTGGTAGTGGATCAACTACTAGACAAATTACCTCTAGCGGAAATACACTGTATGCATATGACGCAGTCATGATCGCTCTCAATGAGAGATGGTGCAGGATTGCAGGCCGAGTCATGACCGCTCGGGGGAAACATAAAGGCACCCTGATATTATCGAAAGATGACTCCAAAGATGATTGTCCAAAGATTACTCAAAGTATCACTGAGAGAAGGTGCAGGATTGTGCAGGCTGGGCATCAACTCAGACAAAACCACCAGAAAGTGAAGCATGAACCACTTTAAAAGAATCCATCTAGATGGAAAGAAAATACAGGGTTGCGCCTCTTATACGCCGCGGAAGCTCCAAGAAGAACGGTAGTTTATATCGAAATGAAATTTTGGCAGCATATGTAGGTTAACTGAAAGCATTTTATAAAAATATATAGAATTATACAGGGTGTCCCAAAAAAAGTTACATATCAAAGTTGTGTTTTTAACACCCTATAAATATTAATTGATTTTCGGATTCTAGGAAAAAAATAAAGGTGAGTTTTATTAAAGAAGCATATACCTAAAATCTAAGGATTTTGACATATACAGTGCTCGCTGTATATTATAACTATTATAACTCGGAATTCAAAAATCGATATCTCCAAATCCATTAGAAATAATAATTGTTTGTAGTTGTTTTCAAAAACTTTCTTAATATTTTTGCCATAGATAGGATTACCAGACGTCCGGATTAATCCGGACTTATCCGGATTTTACTACGTCCGGTTGAGTCCGGTCAGATTTCTCATAAGCGTCCGGATTTTAATGTTCCATTGAGAAATGTCACGATAATGCAAAATAATATATTAGTTTTAATAAATTTAGTTAATTAAAAAATCGTCAATAAATTCAGCAGTGCAAATTCATTGTTTTACCTCGTAAGTTTTAAGTTTTGAAAGTTGTAAATGTATTTTTTTTCAAACGTCACAAAAGTATTAATTTTTGAGACGTGATTGACAATATAAAAAAGTAATTATAACGTCTAGGCATAACAGTAAATCACTTTTACGCCTAAGCACAAAAGTACGAAATATATTAAAACTGACATAGTATCAAATTAAACGAGCGTAACCATAGTTTCTTGATGTACGTATAATTACTTACAAGGTATTACTTTTAAATCTTTTTATATTATTTCGAACGTTTGAAAGTGTTTAAAAAATTATTTGTGGCGTTTGAAAAATATAGCATGTTCTATTCGAAGTAAAAATGATTTTTTGTGCCTCGCCTGTATGTCAAACGTCCACTCCACAGACTCGCCAGAACATTTTTTTGTGGATTTAAATCATCATATTTCAGTTCATTTTCAGTTCTACCTCCTAAAGTAGCTACAATAATTTCCCTCATGTTGTTGACACCTTAGACTAAAACTTCTGTCTTACTCTAAGGTTGACACTAGTTGGTCGAATTTTGTAAACAGTCTTTAACATATCCTCAAAAAAAAAACAGACTAGATAAAATCAGGAGCTATTAATAAGTATTCTATTAACTGGTGAATGCACACTGCATTCACCGACTAACAGAATCATATCAATTCTCTCTGATGTAGGATAAGTTTGCATTTTCGGCAAATTTCTGAGAAATTTTTTTGTTTTAACTAATACAAAATGATAACTAGTTGTTAAAGTTGGACTAATTAGGTAGCTATGTTGAAGTAACGTCAGACATATCACAGTTGGATTTTATCACACCTAGATTTTATCAAATAATAAAGATCTACTCAGATCAAATCATTTAAATGAAAATATCTAGGAAAATCTTTGTTTGAGGGGTAGGCAACCTTAACAGTATTTTTAAGAGACACGAATTCTCCATTGAATATCGGAATAATATACTGGGTGTTCCATTTAAAATAAGAGAGTAACATGCTTTTAAAGATGACCAATGTTCAATATTAATTTTGTCTGACCCTGTATAACTTTTTGGATCAAGTTTTAATTTGATTTAAAGTACAATAGTTAATTTAACTACATATTAGTCTATACCAGGTAAATTCCAATTTAGGTAACTTTTATTGTAATTTAAAAATTGTTCTTTATTTCTAGAAAATGTTAAATATGTCAAAAACCTTACATTTTAGTCATGTACTTCTTTTATAAAACTCACTTTTATTTTTTCCCAGAATCCGAAAATCAATTAATATACAATATAGGGTGTTCCATTACAAAAAATACAGCTCGTGTGATATGTAACTTTTTTTGGGACACCCTGTAGAACTGCGTATATTTTTAAAAAGTGCTCTGAATTAATCTACATATGCTCACAAAATTTCATTTCAATACAAACTGTCGTTCTCCTTGGAGCCTCCGCGGCGCACGGTGGGGTATTAGCATGAAAAAGGTGATCGAAATTCGAAAAAGCAAATGTGTTTAAGATTTCCCAAAAAAAGATAAATGATAAGTTAAATCATCTCTGCCATGAATGGCGTTGCTATGGGTGTGTTTAGTTGCATTCATTTGTTTCAACGAAACGTCAAAGTTGTTACTTCTTACAGATAAGAGGTAAATGGCTAAATTTTATGTTTAAAATTATAAATTGTTGTTGTTCTTGTGCTCTTTTTACGTTTATATTATTGTTTTGAATGAAAATGGCTCAGCAAGCTGGAGGTATGTATTCTCCAAAAACGTATTATTTATTTTGATATTCTCTATACTAACGATTTTTTTTGCAACTAGAAGTTAGGCGTTCAGAAAATTTGATTAAATTTGTGACATTTTTATTATACTTAGAGATTTAGTTGCGCATTTCGAAGAAGATAAAATGAGAAAAACATTCTTGGTTTCCTCTAATTTGCCAATCAGTGATATACTAACGCAAGGTGTAAACCGCGATGGCATTGTTGTGTACAAAGCGATCGCATTAGTGCCATTAGCAGTATAGCACAATTTGGCATTAGTAGCGACTTTAGTGGCATGGGCATTGCTCGCGGATCAGTCGTAGCATTAGTAGTATTAGTTGCGATATTACTACTGGCATTAGTGGCATTGACCGTCGAAACACTGGAACAGTGATTTTTCTTTCTTTTTTTAGAATCGACGAATTATCCTCTATTTTGTTCATATTATTTCCTCTTTAATTGAAAATAGCTATAATTTATATAAGGTCTACATAAAAAAATTTCGATCAACTATATGTGTCAAATACCAAACTGTGCGGCGTATGAGAGGCGCCACCCTATACTGCCCTCACAGGAAGTCAAATTTCTGGGAATAACCCTGGACAGTAAACTTCCACGGAACAGGCATATTAAGAACATTACCAGCAAAACTACAAAGGCTCTCATGATATGCAGAAGACTGGCGGGAAATAGACTGGACGTTTTGCCCTGGATGTATACCATGATAGTAAGACATATGATTACCTATGGAGCAGTTGCTTACACTAGTTGGTACACAAAACTAGAGCAACGCACAGCAAGGCAAACCCTGTGCAAAGTACAAAAGACTGGCATGCACCTGTATCACAGGTGCCATGAGAACATGCCCAACAGCAGCAATGGAGGTGATTCTAGACCTAACACAACAATGATTAAGGTACATTCAGGCTGAGAGCGTTGAGCGTCGAGTCGCGTTTGCGTCGCGTCCGCGTGTCGAAATGGAATCAATTCACTTAAGTTAAATTAGACTGTTCAGGCAGACAGCGTCGCGTTTGGCGTTGCGCTAGCGTTCGCTGAGCGTCGGGGTTCGAGTTCAATGGGGCGGACGCGACGCAAATGCGACGCGACGCTCGACGCTCTCAGCCTGAATGTACCTTTAGAATTGTCATTAACGGAAACAGTACTAGGAGAATTGTTAGATCAGGGGCTAGGAACACCCTCCAAAAGAAACTCCCAGTGGATCATATACCAAGAATGTAAAACTTTGAGAAAGATTTCACTGTAGTATTGAGCAATAAAAAGGATTGGAAGAGAGAAACGTTTGCTCAGCATGTAAAAGATCATATACATAACATCATAACGTTGTATACTGATGCTTTCAAAACCAAAGCAGGGAAAGGGATAGGAGTATTTTTATGTCAGAGTTGGCTTGAAAATGAAGAACGCTGTCATTATATGGTAAATGTCACCGATCGTTATTTCCAAGGCAACCTGACGACGTTTTTTTCGATCATATGTTATTACGAGTAGTAAACCAGTTAATTATGAAATTCGTTTAAAGTTTATTAATCTGATTCTAGTCTTGCATTTTCGCATTTATTTACTATTATTTGTAAAAGATCATAAAACTCGTCAAAAATTAACACTAATTGTAGAAAGCTTAAAAAAGGATAAAACCTTTCGAGACAGAAATCTATTTCCAAAAATTATTTTTTTCAAATTTTAAAATACACCATTTAAAATAATTTGTACTCAATATAAAAATATTTTACAAACTTCTTAAGGTCAACTGGCAGTAAGCACCATTAAGAGATGAAGAAGAGTATAAACTAAGTAAATGATATCTAGGGCTTGACCTCCCCAAAATTATCATCGATTATCATTCCCCAGCCATTTTTGACACCCTTTTTTTCGATCGTATTTTATTTTACTTACCTGTATAATACTCATGCCTTTCCAAGTAAGGTGCTGCTTTTGATATAGCTCTAAGTTCAATCAGATATATAAAGTACAAATTGCGTAACCAATTAGGGCCTTCATTATTTGTGGTTTCTAGTGAAAATCTTCTTTTAAATTCTTCCAAATTAGGTCCCCATTCTCCATGTGGATTCTTCAAAGACAATCCATTATGACTGGATAATAAATAATTAGCAGATAAATGAACATTAATGCTAGCATGTAAACCTGATATAACTCTATAAAATACTCTTTCTTCCAAGCACATATCATTAAGTCGATCGCTTTGTATGTAAGAGTTAAAACTAAAACTCTTTTTAGGTCTAAAACAATTTTCTAAATAAATTGCTTTCCAGACTCTTTGTGCTGACAACCCAGCATATCCTGTATATCTTTCAGGATTTAAAAGTAAATCAACATATTCTGCTTCTTCATCCTTGTCATCTATTACACAAAAATTATCCTGTGCGTCATCATAAGCTGCCCACTTCTCCATATCATGCTGAGCCTTTTCACTTATGGTTTTATTTAAATAATCAAGATTCATAGACTGATCGGTACAATCGTGAGCTTCATTTTCACTATACTTAAAGGACATATGTTTTATATCACCCTTTAAACCGATAGGTATTTCGTCTTCTTCGCATGATTCTACATGACAATAGCGCATAGCACAACGATTATCATCTGCCCAATATGGACATGGCCTTTTCAAATTGACTTTAAAAAATCTGAAGAAATCCTTCTCTAATAAACTTCTTAGTCTAGGGAAAATCTTCACATTATTAAAACTATCTACTGTGTCGATGCTACATGAACACTCATCAATTTTTCCTTTTAATTGACAAAAACATTCATTGGAATTTAATTCTTGATGTTGATTAAAAAAACAGTAACACTGACTAAATACTCCCACATAAACTATCAATTTCAGTGTATACACATACATTTTTAATATCAATGAATCTCATCGCTCTCATTGCCTATATAATGATGAATTGACTAGATAAAAGTGATAAGTATAACAGTAAAAATACTAAAAATTGAAATCCCAAAATACACGTAAACCAATACATGACAAAATTGACAAACAGCTGATTGTTAGGAGCACGTGAACTACCAACTAGAGATGGGCAGAAGAGGAATAGCAGACGAACTGGGGGTATCGATATTTTATATTCACATTGATATTATGTAGATAATATCCTTGTGATATTTATTTTTGACTAAATATATAATAAAATTTCTAAAATATATAATAAAAACAGTTATTGGGCTAACGATATAGTTTATTAAAATAAACTTAGTTTGAATTGACCGCCAGAAAATATTTTGGCCTACGGTGTTTTTGCTCTACTCTGGACTGGACTTGACTTTTTTTCTGGAATTTCTTGGTTATGTGTTTGTGACATATTTTTATTTTTATATGTAGTTTTAAATGTAATCAATGGAGACTGTTGACATAATAGAAAACGAAAATATTTGTATTACCAGAGAAATTGAACCTAACGAAATACAAAGACTTGAGGTAGGGTTACAACAATACATTAAAATTGATAACACTATGCTAAATACAAATGTCGTCCCTGTTTGTAGGTTGTAGGCGAAGGAAGTTTTGGTGTTGTATACAAGGGACTATGGCAAAATAAATTGGTGGCTGTCAAAAATATAACTAGAGATGCCGAGAAAAAAGCGTTTCTGGTGGAAGTTAGACAACTTTCACGAGTTGACCATAAAAATATAGTAAAATTGCATGGAGCGTGTACGAAAGGACTGAATTTTTTCCTTGTAATGGAATATGCCGAGGGTGGTTCATTATTTAATGTATTACACAAATCAACTTTAGGATATTCCTTAGCCCATGCCATGTCATGGATATGCCAGTGTGCTAAAGTAAGTCATTGCAAAGACAGGCATTGTAAATATGTTAAATTGTTCATTGTGAGGTACTAAAGGTTCTGATTATCATAACTTAAATAACAACTTATAAATACGAACATAATTGTATTCTGTTTACTCGTTACCAGCATGAAGCGCTTTTCTCAGAACTATGTTCTGTTTTTGTGTGATCTTTGACACTTCAAACAACCATTGACAGCTGAGCTAAATTTAAAATTGACAGCTGTTTAACTTTTGTACTAATCTGATTGGTTCTTTTGACGTGTCGCTGGCGATAGTACAAAGTTTTGAGCTGAGAACAGGGATTGAGGGAGGACAACTCTATAAGGCCCTGTCTACACATAACTTTTTACCTGCCACTCTTACCTATTTAGTCAAAACGTATCGAGTAAATCCTTGTGTGTCAACGAGAAAATGAACCGTCTTACTTGAACTGAATTAAAGCAATATAAATTATTTTAAGTTAACGTCTCCTTTTTGCTGCTAAGGCTACTCTGGACGGGATAAATAAGGTAGATGGTACCATACAGTACATAAAGGTGTAGGTACCATACAGTACATCATTTTTGAGATTTTATTTCATTTTTATTTATTTACATAAACTAATAAATTGGTAAGTATATGCCGGGTGCGTCTCAAAAGTAGAATGTAGAATGAGTAATAGGGGGGGGGGTTAATCACTGCAACCTTAAAGATCTATTGTGCCCCCCTTCCTTGAGTCATCACAGTCTATAACCCATCATACCCCTGTTGTAGAGGGGTCAGGGTATTTCCCATCCTTCTCTGAAAACAGTTCTTTCTCCGAGGGTACACACTCTTCCACGGTTGGAGTTTGGTCCTCCGTGCCGCCCTTCACAGTCAAGGAGCTTGCCTCCGGCTGAGGAACCCGTGGGGTGGAGGCTGGAGGATCTGTCTCCATTTTCTCCACCTCTTTAACTTGGTCTCTCCTTAGACCTGATACCGGTGTTGTCCCGTATCTATAATAGAGGATATGTCCCTTTTTCTCTATTGCCTCCTTGGATTTGGGGTCAATTCCTATTGTGAGGACCTGACCATGACCCTTCTCCCTCGAGTTGATGACTCGCCAACTCGATGTTCTGACCCTGGATAAGGCTCAGCAGGTAGGTGGTGCCCTTGATCCTCGCCAGAAAGACCGTAATGGTCGCCCCTTTAGAGATGTTTTCTCCCTTCACTGCAACCAGTTCCGGCCCTTGCCAATTTTTAAGCTTAGGTGTGATTTCTACCAACCAATTCGCCGATTCTTGAGATACACAATCTATGAGAATTATGCCCACCCGAAAGTGTATCTCCGCAAAACGCAGCTAACCCACATTTTGTAGATCGTTGCGTTGCGATCCGATCGCCGCTACTTTGTCCAGTATAGCCTCTTCTACAGACGTTTGCTAGTCGGTGGTCAGAGCAACATCTGGGAAATCCTTTGACAGCACCGTCATTTTCACTTGTCCAGCAATCGCGGCAAAGCTGGTGATACGTCCCTGCTTGCCTCCCGGTGTTGGACGGCTTTCCATCCTGGCTTTTTTCTCTCCCTGCCGGAGAAGAAGTGAAAGGTTCTCGCTCCCTTTCTTGCCCTTTGATGGAGATGAGTCAGGTTGTTTCTTGGTTTCTTTACTCTAGAGGTAGGCTCTAGACCCTTGCTGGAGAAGGTGGTAGCTTGGGTGCCACTTGCGGAGGATGATCCCAAGCAAGTGTCACCCGCCCTTATTGTAGTTTCCTTTGGATTTGGTTCCTTGGAACTTTCATTTGTAATGTTCCCAGTGTCGCTAGGGGGCTCCCTCACAGCTTCACCGGTGGTGTTTTCAATACTAGATCTCATAGTGTTCCCACTAGTCGCTAGGGATCTCCGCATGTAGAAGTAAGGGGTAAATACAATGGGGTGCCCCTGATGCCCTAAGGTTTAGGCCAGTAATGGCTAGTCCTCTAGCTAGCCACGCATCCCTTTGACCTGGTCCCGCTATCGTAGGATTTAGGATTTTGGTGAGGTTGTCTCCTCTTTGTCCAGGCGGTTACACCCTCTACCCGCGAGACATGACCATAGTTAGTAGAGGATGCCTGGTATGACGGACAGGGGTAGCCCCGTCCGGTATCGTTATATGTCTTGGTGCAATTTCCTGGCCACGACACTACAGCCAGGGACAAGACGATGAGTGAGATGCTTGTTAGACCAAGCCAAGCGCTAGGGGGGATTCCCCCCAGCACCTGACCAGGAGCTTCTCCACCAACGATAAGGTCTTGCATCTCCGAGGGGAGAGAAAGTAACTCACCAATATAACTTTTATTTTTGCAGATAAAACAACGAGATTTGGTATGTTAGTATATTACATAAACTAGGATTGACTGACGTATTCAATTGTTTTTGGTCACTTCCTGTTTCACCGGAAATGACTACAACTTTTGATTTTTAAATGTCACCCTCGGTATATTTCTATTTTATTTGATAGAAAATTACACTCTCAATATAGAATGACATATCATATGTCAACTTTTGACATATGACTTTCGCATATGATTTATTTGAAATTGTAATATGCGGTTCATAGCGACAATCATTTGACTCTAACTACCAAGTGTGTGGTACCAAATTATTCGTAAAAAAATGTTTTTTTCCAAATATGCTAATGAGCCACCCTTGTTTCATTTGAAAAAAAAATGAGGTGTGATTAAAAATACGATTTGGGCATCTTTCAGCCGGCCAGGACAAGACACGAAAAACATTAGACGATCAAAACTATTTTTCCAAGGCTCCTTGATTAAGAATTAGTGTTTTTAAAACAGCCATGGTACTCTAGATTTAAATTTAAAATACGATTTGTTTTAAGTAAAAATGTCAAAAGTTGACATATGATATGTCATTCTATTCAGAGTGTAATTTTTTATTGAATAAAGTAGAAATATGTACACCGAGGGTGCCATTCAAAAATCAAAAGTTCTAGTCTCGGTTGTAGTCATATACTAACATACCAAATCTCGTTTTTTTATCTGAAAAAATAAAAAAGTTATAGGGGGTGAGCCACTTTTGAGACGCACCCGGTAGACAGTTAAATTTACAAAGAAAAACAGATTCTGTAATTCATGTACGTATACATGAATAATGTACGCCGTCTACCTTGCCTACCCTGATGAGCCCCCACTGATGGTCTTTTGTTTTAATTGATAGGTAAATCGTTATGTATAGATGGGGCTTTAGAGCAGTTTAATTATTTATTTTTATTTTTAATGTGTTTCTTGATATGTTTTATTAATTTTTAGGGAGTAGAATACCTGCATGATATGAAACCAAAACCATTAATCCACAGGGATTTAAAACCTCCAAATTTGTTGTTAATAAATGGCGGAGTTAATTTGAAAATTTGTGATTTTGGTACTGCTGCCGATAAGAATACTTATATGACAAATAATAAAGGATCGGCGGCTTGGATGGCCCCAGAGGTAAAATATTTATATTTGCATGTAAATAAAATAATTATTCTCTTTTCAGGTCTTTACATCCTCCCGTTATACGGAAAGCTGTGATGTATTTAGTTGGGGCATAATTTTGTGGGAAGTATTATCAAGAAAGAAACCATTTTACAATCATGCTAGCTCAGCTTTTAGTATTATGTGGGCGGTGCATAAAGGTAAGAGGCCACCATTAATTAGAAACTGTCCACCGTCGATAGAAAAACTGATGACAAGTAGCTGGGACCATGATCCTGAAAAACGGCCAAGTATGAAAGAGGTATAGTATATAAATTAATAGAAAAGACAATTATGTTTACTGGGTATTTTTCAAAAGTCGCTCAACTCTATAACTTTTTTTTTACATAAAAAAATGACATTTTGTATGTTATTATATTATATAAATCAGGATTAATTGACGTATTCAGTTAGTTTCAAAACCCGTTTTTCACCGGAAATTACTACGACTTTTGATTTTTAAATGGTACCATACGGTAATCATAAAATATTTTCCGATGTATGTCATCAATCATATCAAAATTGACATTAAAGCCTACAAACCTGACTAAATGAAATTTTATTTTTATAATGTGTTCTTTTTTTATAAATTGGATTAGGATCGAAAGAAATCAACAGAAGTCCTTTGTTTTAAATTTGTCAAATTTAAAAGATTTAAGATTATTTTAAGTTATTTGACAAATTTAAAACAAAGGACTTCTGTTGATTTCTTTCGATCCTAATCCAATTTATAAAAAAAGAACACATTATATATTATTGGATCGACAACAATAAAAATTATATTTATTTTTATTTTTTTATTTTATCTAAATAATTTTTAAACATAAAAATTATTTAGATTGGAAAACTGTATGTCAGCGTTTTTTATTGTGACACTTTCAAATGTTGTATTTAAAATTCTAACTATTGGGTTTGATTTTAAAACAATTGAACCAGCAATAAAAACTCCGTCGGCGATTTCAGTATTCAAAATAACAGAATCAGTCTTTAGTTGCGTGAATTTTTTAATATACCTAATGACCTCACGCCTAGGTGGGATTACCAAAGATTCCTCTTCTGGACTTGAAAATATTGGCAATGTTGTTTTTTCGTTAAAAATTTGTAGTGTTAATGTTCAGTTAGCATAATCTAATTGACATTGATATTTCGCAATAAAGTCTCGCCATAAAATTCCGTCAGCTGGTATTGGAAAATTTTGCCCAACTATATAAAACGAGTGATTTATTACATAATTATTATTAAAAATATAGGTGTTAGTTGTGCCTAAAGAACTTGACGAGCCATCTGTAATACCTTTAATATTGCTCATGTTATATTTATTAATAAATTGTTTAGGAGAAATTTTAAAATTTTTAAATCAAGATATATCTGCACCTGTATCAACTAATAAAGTAATTTTGCGATGCTGTAATGCTGGTTTCGACTACAACAAAGTTCGAAAGTGATAGGTCCATATGGAATATTTTTAAAGCGACCCCAGTGGACCTGTCTGGGGGTCCTGTATGTTTCCCGACTCTTTCTGAGTGTAATGCCTGACATATCTAGGAAACATTCCTCTATGATTAGGCCTAGAGTTTCCTCGACCTCTATTATATTGACCATGATGATTATGGTACTGATTTGCATTTAAATACCTCTGGGTTGGTCTATAGTCACTATTATTATTAGCATAGTTTCCTGAGTAGTGTCCTCTTTTGCGACTTTGATGCCCTCTATGATGCCTGTTTCCAGCTCTGTAACGCTGATACTTTCTTGTATAAAAGATTGTGCTAGTATCTGGCATAGTATCTCCACTAATAGTTATAAATTTAGAGATAGCTTCCTCGCAGTTGGTGAAATTACCAGCCTCCATTATTAGTTTTACTTTCTCCGAATCGCTGTTTTTTTCTTAGAGCTTTGACTGTCGTATTTGTCGTATAGGATTTAGCTACTGCTATGGGCACTCCTTCATTTATATATGCTCTTTTCAGGGTTTCTGCTAGAGCTTCAATCTCTGTGGCATATCTTGTGGAATCTTTATGTTGCTGTTTTAAAGAAAGTATTTTTGCCGTCACCATATGAGAACTTTCTGTTTTAATGCGTGTTCGTAGTTTATTAATTATGGTATCCAGATTATCGTTATCATCAATTAAATCACGTGCTTTTCCAACCAGTCTCGTTTTCACATAGGCCACCGCATTATTTTCGTGGTTTTCGCAATTTACGCGCAGTAAATTTAAGGTGTCTATAACGGACTGTAATTTACTTGGAGAACCGTCGAATTCGTTGGAAAACATTTTACTCGCAAAATTGAAAAATTTTGTTTTTGACATAGCCATGTTCTCAAGTTTTATTTTAGGAAGATTTTGTTCTGGGATTGCCTCTGATTCAGAGGACTCTTCTTTTTCTTCACTTTCCTCGAATTCTTCGTCAAATATTTCTGGATTTATATATTCCAAATACGAAATTGGAACTTTGTAGGGTACTTTTAAAACCTGATATGATCTTATGACTCTATCTCTCAACGAAGTAAAAAGTTTTTTAATGGTAATTTCCTGTTCTTTATTATGTGATGGATAAACAAATCGTACTAATTTAACAAAATTATTAAAGTGCTCCAATAAATTTGCTTGAACTTCATTTTTAATTGCATCAGTCTTAGGTATTTCTTTTTTAAGAACGCGTTTTGATTCGTTTCTAACGAGATTACTTACACTTAGTAGATTGGCAAGGATCCCTTCCCAATGATCAGACATAAATTATACAAAAGTAAGAAATAAAAAATTATACAAAAACAAAACACAATATCCCTTATTTAATATCAAAAACAAAAAAAAACTTCTTATCCTTCTAAACATAACAAAAAGTAATTAACTAATTTATAACTAATAGAATTTTTTTTTAATTAAAAAAATAAAAATGTACCTTTTTGTTTAAAATAGCGAAGTCTTTTTTTTGTGTAGGTAATAATTAAGTATACGTAAGAATTTTCATATTGTAATAAATTCATGTAATTTAGGTGTAAAAAATAAAAATAAAACGTTCACACCGAGTATAAATGTTAAGAAAAGGCTATAAAAACAACGCAAAAAATTGTATATTCACATACCATCAACACTGTCCATCAATAAGTACTGCTCGCACTAAACATCTACTGCTTGGGTTCGAAGGACCATACTTCTGGATAAATTCTTTCGGAGCCCCCTTCGGTACGCTTTATATAATTTTAGTAGAAGTAAAATTACCACAACTGCTACTACAATGTACAGTAGTACACGAACATCTGTTGGCACTTGTGTGCCCTCCTGTTCTAGGATGAAGTTGGAATTGACCACACCATTATCGGTTAGTTCCGAATGTTTAGAGTTAGTCTTTCCCATGGTAAATTAGTTTATTTTGTTTCACTATTTTCACTTTTTCACATTCACTTTTGACTATACTGTTTAACTAAACTTATTTAAATTATTTAAATTAAGGTCCTTAGACAGGATCGCCATGTGATGTCTCATTCCAATACGGGAAAAATCAAACACATGTTCACCCTTTGAATACATTTATTCGAATTAGCTAACCTAGTTACAAAAGATGGTATGCTATGCTTTTGTTGTTGCAATAATTAATGAAATATTAAACAAACAATTGGTCGCGCTACATTCTTTTAAGAATACATTTTCGAGTTTTTATATTGCATTTCTTGAAATTGTATGTTGAAAATATACCCAATCATTTAAACAGTTGAAGCAAAGCGCTCGTAGCTTTCTGATAAACTGTTTTGATCAAGAACATGATAATAAAGGTCCATTATTACCTTCGACTGCAGTCAGAGAAGTAAGTTTGATTGGTAAGCACATTATACCACTTTCAAAGTTATTTCTACTTATTTCGATTTGTAGCGAGCAGCTGCTGCCTTATGCCGGTTCCACATTCTCGCTGTTGCTCGGCGAGAAAGCTCGAGAACGAGTGTGTAGATGGGACCGCTCGCTATATCTCGCTTTGTCTTTCCCGGCATCGCCGGTGCTCCGTCGAAAGTCGGTTTTTTGGGCCCGAGTCAAAGGTGCTCGCGAGAATACCGAGGATGAGCGAGCACAATAGTGTACGTTCCCGGGTTCTCGCATTAATACGCATATTACCGCGAGATTTCGGTGGGTTCAGAGGTTGTGTTGTGTTGTGATATAAACAAAATGGGAGTGGAATAATGAAAAAGAATTAAATTGCAGCAACAGCAGCAGCAACTTCTGCGTCGGCTATCTTCTCGCGTTCTCGTACGGATGATGGATTTCCCGGGAGTTCACAACTGCAACTGAAACATTCGCTAATTTAGCGTGAATGTGTATGGTCGTACCGAGCACGAATTTCTTGGCCGAGAAGCTCGGCGAGACACAGCGAGCGTATTCGGACGAGAATGTGGAACCGGCATTTAAATATTTCTACTGTGAATGTTCAAAATCAAAATCAAGTTTATTGGTGACAATAATAAATATACACACACGTCAATAATATAAAAATACAAAATTTAGACAATCATTACACATTTGTCACTTAAACATTGATAATAAAAGGTAAACCTATATAGAAAATAAAAACTTATAAATTAAACATTGGAATCACTTTGACATACAGTATCAGATAAAAACAATTTAAAATAATAAAAGGCCTTTCCCAATAGGTAATTTTTTATCACTGTTTTGAATACGTTAGCCGGTAGAGTTCTAACCTGAAATGGTAGCTTGTTATAGAAGGCTGGCGCATAGTGCAGTGTCGCATTAAAAGATCTATTCTTCTTCTTCTTCCTTCTTCATACTAGGCGAATCGCCTGTTTGGTTTCGTCGTCTCTACCGGTCAGACTGACCAGTTGTCGCTCCATCGTTTTCGTGGACGTCCTAAGCTTCTGCGACCTAGCGGTGATTTGTCGCGTGCAACTCTCACTATCCTTCTGTTGTCCATTCTGCTAATATGCTCGTTCCATTCTTCCTTTCAGCTGAGTACCCACTCATTTACATTTCCCACCTTGCATACAGACCTCCTTCTCCACCAATTTTGCCAGATTTCGCAAAACAAAAGTTCCTGACGTCAATTTCCTAGCTATGAGGTTTACGTGATCATCAAAGCACAGTTTTGAATCTAAAGTGACCCCCAGGAAATTAGCTTCACCCTGGTGATCCCTGCAATCAAGTGGCCTTAAAGAAAAGATTATGTTCTTAGTCTTTTGGCGATTTAGGTTTAGGCGACTTGCCGCAAACCAGTCCCCAATGCCATCCAATTGTTCATTCTTCAGGTCTACCA